ATCCTGATCATGTGAATCAGGTGTGTTGGAAGAGGGAAACATCTAAAACATGCTGGATAGTGGCTCTCAAGGACCCAGATTGGGCACCCCTGCCTTACAGCATGAAACTCTGAACATGTCATTCTGCACAGCAAAGCCCAAAAATCCTAACAAAGAAACTATACAGAAACGCACATTTGGATGCTTATGTTGCTCTCCTTTTTTTGTTAGCGGGTGCTGTGCCATACAGATTGTAAAATTCCTTGTGGCAAATAAAATGTGCCGTAAAAAGCAAAGACGACAACAAGAGGTCTCATCTAGTGGACCTTATGAAGGTGTTCTTAGACGATTTAAATGTACTCTTAAAACATTCACCCCTCTGTTTTTATGCCCTGAAGTGCTGAAGATGGAATTGAATACTGAAGTGAAAGACATGAAGTGAAAGAAAAGATTTTTACAATAACTCTTCATTGCATTGCCACAAATACAGCTGTTGTGTATTAAATCCGTTTTACAAAGAAAAGAAAACTTACATTTGTTAAATGAACACTTAGAGTCAAAAAGGAATACCTCTTTACATGTTAACCATGCCAGAGCTCTGCTGTGTGAGATTAAATGCCACACAGAACATCACTTGTTATTGAAAGTTATATATATATAAAACACACACACACACATACAAAAACAGGCTATTCTTGACACTGCAAACCTGGAATTACACTATATATGAGATGTATGCAGTAGTACTTGTAAATGTAAAGTAACCACTAAAACCTGAAATAAGATGTACATTTTAACTTAAAAGAGTTTGAAGATGAGTTTGTTTTTCTGGGTCAGAATGGGCCTTTGGATGGTGAGTACATCTGTCAGTAAACATGATCAGTCTCCATACAGCAGTGAGTCTGTGTTACCTTGTTTGACAGAAATCCACGCATTTTACCGTAATTTATGACAATTTTATAAAGAAAAATATCTTTAATTCCTTAGTAAATAAATCCTATTTTTTTCTTAAAATGATCAAAGAATATACATTTTTTTATTCTAAATTGTTGTTATGTTAGGTAAATCTTCCTTTATGCAGGAAAAATCCTGGGGCCTCATTTATCATCAGTGCGTATGCACAGATATGGGTGTAGAGTGTGCGTAAGAACATTCCTACTCAAAGTATGGAATTTATCAACTTGTACTTATACTTAGGAATGTGCGTAAGTATACGCACAACTGTGACCATGCGTACGCACATAATCTAGCGGTAGAATAGTGAAACTACCAATAGAAAGCATTTGGGGATTTTGACCACCAGCACATTCCAGCGTGAGGTTGAAGACATATGCTGCATTTCTCAGCCACCACTGAGCAGGATCAAGCCGGTAGTGGTGGATGCCGTAACTCCCCTGGCCCCAGCCTACATTCAGTTCCTTTACAGTCATCACCGATGAGCCCAAATCAAACGGGGACTTAACACCATCGGTGGATTCCCAAACGTGAGTGGAGCCAAAGGCTGCACTCACATAGCAATCAAAGCAGCATCACTAAACAAGCTTATTTTTGTAAATTGATAAGGGTTTCATTCAATCAATGTACAGATAATTTGCGATGCGCATTTGTGGCTATCCAGCGTTGTTGCCCGGTGGCTTGGAGGAACGCACGACTCATTCATTGAGCAGAACAGTTCTGTGGATCTCCAAGCAGGAGCTGCTGAGGACGACTGGCCACGCTGAACAAATCACTTGGTGAGTGTTACAGAGTGTGAGATGTTTTAGCTGAACTTAGTTTGGTTATTAAAACATGTTTTCTGTAGGTGATCAGGGTTATCCACTGGGTGAAAGTTCAGTATTAATTCATCCTCTTCCAGTTGCAGTCATTTCTCTTTCATGGGCTGTGATACGTTTTTTGGCACTTAGCTTAATGTCAAACCACCAATTTTCCGGCGATGTCCTCTGACCCAACAGAAATAACTGAGGTGGTTATCATGTCCTGCAGGGTGGCGCAGTTGGTAGCACTGTTGCCTCGCAGCAAGAAGGTTGCCGGTTCGCGTCCCGGTGGGGGCACCGGAATCTTTCTGCGTGGAGTTTGCATGTTCTCCCCGTGCAGCGTGGGTTCTCTCCGGGTTCTCCGGCTTCCTCCCACACAGTCCAAAAACATCCATCCATCCATTATCTATACACTGCTTAATCCTCACTAGGGTCGCGGGGGGGCTGGAGCCCATCCCAGCTGACTCAGGGCGAAGGCAGGGGACACCCTGGACAGGTCGCCAGTCCATTGCAGGGCCACACTTAGAGACAGACAACCAAGCACACTCACATTCACACCTACGGACAATTTAGAATCACCAATTAACCTCAACATGTTTTTGGACTGTGTGGGAGGAAGCCGGAGAACCTGGAGAGAACCTCTGCTGAATAAACCAAAGATGAGGGTATTAATACAATATTATATTATTATTAGGGTAATACTTTAAAATGACTGTAACACCATCAGTTTAGACCTAGTATTCAGGCCTGGGAGCTTCTCTTCTAATGCAACCTCTCCTCTTGCTCCAAGTCTTTACATCAGTGAAGCTGCCTCCCTGTAAATCTGTTAAATATAGAGCAATACTGTTTCCTACCCCACTTGAACACATCATTAGCAGAAATTAGAGTCTAAATTTACAAGTAAAACTTTGCTTTTCATTCAAACTGTCTCATGGTTGATACCGTCTCTATAGCCGCTGCCAGGAGGGAAACCATGGCTGCCACCGAGTAAGCACAGGAAAGAGCTTCATCTCACACTGTCATCCCTCATCAATCCGGTCAGCGTGACACAAAAAGACGAAAAGGAGGAGAGGAGCGCTTCCTCCATCAAATGTCAGGGAAGTGGTGAGCTCTAAGTGCACGTCGTGATTAGTTGTGAATGGGACGCTGCAGTGTGATTGGTGGAGAGAGCCGGGGGTCAGGCGTTCTGCCAGCAGCTCATACAAAGCTGCTGATTGCTATTCATCCACTGATTACAGTAATTTAGATCTGCAGCAGGCCAAAGGGGCCTGCGTCTGGCAGGCTGGCTGCTCCTCAGTCTGGGGGGTGCACTTTGGTTTGCTTAGTGATTTTTGTGTTGTCAGAAATGAGCACATGATGCTGGAAAAAGAATCAAACATGCAGTGGAAATGCAGAAAAACATCACAGCCTTTGTGAAAAAAACATCAATGTTAAAAGAGCAAGACAAAAACAAGGAAGGAGAATATATTATTATGTCTCAAAATATGTAAAATATGTCAAGATAAAACAAAAAGAAATATCCTATTTTGGGTTTAAACACTTACTTCTCCACCATGATTTTTTACATGGTGCATATCTTAAATCTCACTTTGAGTAAGAAAAATCCACCAAAAAAGCAAACAAATAAATGAATTAAAGCTATATGATGCATCAGTTTTGTTTCTTTTTGTCTTCCAAGTGCCGTTTTTACACGCTGACACCTTGAATAATCAAAGTTGATGAAGCAGTTAGTTGCAAATGGTTTTTTGCAGGAGCGTTGGTGATGATTAATCACGGAACTGAGCAGCTCTGGCCTCTCCACCTGCACACATTACAAGGTTAATCTCTCTATTGATTATTGCAGCAGAACGAACCAATAGTTCACTCCTGGTTTTCTCTGTGTTCACATGTGTATGTTTTCTGCTTTCTGTGGATGCTTAAAGTGGGGGGCACAGATGCAACTATACTGTTGATGAATGATTGCTTTTGAATGATTGCTTTTGTTGATAACATCTTTCAGCTCATATTGACAAAATAAATCATGCTTAGCACATTAGATTCACATTTATTGACAAAAAAAAGGACATTTTTCAAAAGTTTTCTTTCTACAGAAAAAGTATTTTCACAGATGTATTAAAAACAACGACTTGTGTATAGGGCATAAATATACATTCTAACGCTTGCTGACTGACATCTAAAATCTTCACCGATAAGGGGTTCACACTATGATCACAGCAGGAAACACGTGTAAATGCTGTAAAATGTCCATCATTTAAGTCCCTGGGTGTGTAGATAACACTGTTTCAGAGATTTTCCTCCCCCACAAGCTCCTCAGTCGTCACACGTTCACATGTATACAGACACAAACAGACTCAATAGGAAGCTGTGAACTTGTACCCCGTTTTGGTGACTCCACATCCTGTTGTTCAGCATGTGTGTTTAGACAAAGCGTGTCCATGTGCTTGGCTCCTTGGGGTGTTTGGACTCACACCGCTTGCCCTCGGGGATGCTGCTTCAGAGGTGACCTAGTTCTCCTGATTGTCAGCAAAAGGCAGTTTCATCAGCTTGCTTTGTGCCGAGGCACTGAACTGTGCCTGGGACCCTGGGACAGGCCAATTGGACTTGTGTAATGAAGCTCATCACACACATGCACGCACGCCACACATGCACACACACACTCCACTGTTGTCAGGCAGTAGAATTTATAACACTCATTTATTACCTTCTGCTTTATCAAAGAAATGTGATTCCTGTGTGCGTTTCTCATGCATGCACCACACAGACATTATGGTCCATTACAGGGAGGTGACAGAGATGGAGCAGAGGGTGTTGATAGATGTGGGTGCCTAGGCCGGCTGTCATTACTCCCATCTATCGAACAGAGTGTGCAAGACACTTCCCACAAAATGGCCGCGGAGCACCAACATGGCTCCAGCTGCAAGGAGCAAATGGTTCACATCTGATGATTGGTACAAAATGTTTAATACATTCATTTGCTGCTTGCGTGTTTGGAACGGCTTCGAGTAGCAACATGAGCACAACAAACACTCCTACTGCAGTAGTTTCTCCTCACAGCAGATTGTATATGAATGAGAAATATTTACAAAGGAAATTTGTGCTACAAACAGATGTAAAGAGATTCATTAAAAAAAAACAAACAAAAAAAAACCCCAATATGTACACAAACACTGCAAATTCCCACACTGAGTATGGGCGACTTAGCAAACATACTGGTACACTGAGTGCAGCACTCCACATTAGCCTAAAGTCTCTCTATCCTACATAGTACTCACCAAATACAGAAGTAACAACGGTATTACATTCATATAAATAATAATACTCCACGCTCCAGGAGTCACTTCAGCACTTTCGCCTCCATTCATGACCACTGAAGACCAGCTTCACTGTATGTCCTTAACAACTCCCTTTAGAGGTACAACAATTGTCCTTGAGGTTGTGACACCAAATCCCTTGGTGTCAGAAAAGAGAAGTCTCTTTGAGCACTGTTCTGTGCGAGTCAGGGGTCCTTGGAAGTCCATGGATTTTTATAACACCCAGGAGACCACAGGGTTTCACAGATAGACAAATATCAGTTCATCAAGGTCTTGTCCCTCTTTGAATGGCACAGATGTAGAAAGGGGTCGATACACAGAGAGAGTCCTTCTGTCTCTGTTTACATCAAATCTGCAGAATGGAGATGCCAGTAGCAGGAGAGAAGGAACATGAGTGATTGAGAAGGATCAGTCAGTTGATTACCTAATTGATCCGTCAGTAAATGTCTGTTTTCCAGCTTTTACTTTTGAGTGCCTTTCCTCCTGTTGCTGTTTTCTTATTAGATAAAAAAAGAAGAAGAAAAAACTGATACAAGGGTTTTCTGTCCATATTTGAGGCTATATGTGCCTCTACTACAATCAATGTGTTTACACCGACATAACTAACCAGATTACAGTCTGATTGCTCCAATAAGCTGAGTTCTTAAACATCATGTAAATGAGAAAACTTGTTTCTGTAATCAGGGTAGAACAATAAAGAAATCAGATTTCCCCAGCTGTGTTTCTCCTGAACACCTATTTTTGCCATGTGTGTGGCTTGTAATTTTGTTTTTTTACATGAACACAAGCAGGTGAGTAACACTAAACCACTAAAGAGGTTTTAGCCAGCACCAAAATAACAAGAACTAAAGGTAATTTGTTTAAAGCAGTTTAGTGAAGTGGGGTTATTCATATGGTAAGAAATAAGAGGAAATGCATGGATTTCTGTCTTATAAGGTAACACGGATTCATTGCCTTTACTGTATGCAGACGGAATATGCTCAGTGTGGTACGTAGTCACTCCGAGCCAGGAAAAGCCCTGCTGGTGGATAAAAGAGGATATTAAAACAGGGAACACTGTGCCCTCGAACATCAAGTCCCACAAAAACTTTTGTGCTGAGAGAAAAATAATCTCCGCTTTGTCTGCCTGTCAGTCTTTTACTACCTGTCAGTCTCCTGATGGAGAGTTTTCTAATATAGTTTAAAAAAAAAAAAAAAAAAAAAAGCCAGAAAGCCACATTTTTAAAGGTTGGAAGTAGGGGAGTTACTGACCTGCTATATGGGTACATGTTTGCTGATTTCCTGGTTTATCTAAGTTCAGACTGACAAAACAATGACTGCGATGAATGTCAAAAAAATAATTGCAGCCAGAATACTGAAGTACATAGTTAGGTACCCATTTTGCTTAGAATATGCACAAAAAAACCTATATCATGTTGCAGCTTTACAATGGATCGATGGATCAAACCAACAATAGGAGAACACATAGTCTGTGTATGTGGAGCAGAGGTTGGTCTGAGCGGGTGGAGGGCGGCTCTCTATAGCCAGAGGTGCTCTGCAACCCCATCTGCTCACTCATGGTAGGAGATTTCTTGAGAGAAAAGATGGTGAAGCAAACTGTCCAGCCGCTTTCCCTCTCTCACTCGCTTTCTACTCTTTTCTGTGACGCAGGTTCTCCATCGAAGTAATGAGACACGTCGGCAGCTTTTTGCTCGCAGCGTTGCAGGCCTGCAGTAAGGCAGGAGAGCAATGATGGCGTTAAGGGAGAAAAGGAGCAGAAGAAGACAGAGGGAAACAGAAAGATAGAGAGAAAGAGAAAGAGGGCAATGTGTGCTCATGTGATCGCAGACAGTTTTGAGGCTCTGCTCTGGGCAGATTCTGCATCTAACTGTTTCTGCTTCCTCCATCTGTCTCCTTTCTCGCTTGTTGCTCAGAGGTTATGCAGGACATGAAGAAGAAATGGCTGCATGGATTTGATATTTCTTAAGACTCTGCCTTTACTATTCTTCTGCTGCCCGTTCCTCGATCCGTCCATCCACTGTCCCATGGCTTCGACGTTACAGCCCTCTGCTGGCATTAGGTTTCATCTTGATGAACCATTCTCCTCCAGGGTTACTGTTGTATAAATCCAGGAGGTGTGTGTCGGGATCCAGACAGTGCTCACCTGCAGAAAACACACACAATAGAATTAGGCCAAGTGAGGAAGATGAAAAAAAAAAAAGAAAAAAAAAAAGGATTTATTACTTACATATAATTTAAGGCTATAACTAACATTTTTAACCAGTTATGCAGATTAATCAGTTCATTGTTTGGTCCAATAAATGTCTTATATCTTGTATATTTTAATTTATGTGTAATTTAAGTGAGTAAAATTGAAAAAATACTGAACTGGAATTTCTTGTGACAGCAGTGATATTACTCTATTCTCAATAAAATCTTCTTTTTTTTATTCTCTCCCTGTGTTCAATTGTGTATATTGGGTATAAATAATATTCAGTGTATTTCATTCAAGTATTGGATTTCCAAGTTTAACAAAACTTGCAGTATATTCATACACCAAGTGGCACAGTAATGTATTTCTAGCTAAGCATAGTTGCATCAGTGTGGCAGCTACGGTTTGTGCTTTAAATATTTTCAAACTGTTTGAAATTTTACTAGATCATCAGAATAGTTGCTGACTATTTTCCTGTAAATTGATTGCAAATGGGCAAATTGTTCATCAATTCTTGGGCTTATGTTTGTGTCAAAACAATAATCAGAAGTTCCAGGAACCAACATGCAGGTTTAGAGATTCTCTTACACAAAGTTAAACTGCCTGATAAAGTTTTAGTCGTACTGTTCACTGTGTCAGCTCTCATGTGAGCGCGCAGACATGTGTGTAATAAGCATTTGTCTGCTCTGATAACTGCAGATGCACAGCTCGTGTCTCTTTGGCGCTTGCACACTTCATTACATAAGACCTTGCTACTCTCATCAGCTCATTGAGCAGAAAGACATGCAAATGCCACTGCTGCTCTGATCAGAGAAAACAGCAGAGCCACTTTACTCACCGATATTCCCTCCCACTTCGTACAGGGCGCAGTCTGGATACACCACAGAGCCGTTTCTGTTGAGAGACACATACAACATTATCCTGCTCTGTTTTTCAGAAAGGTGGATATATAATACACGTTTCATTCTCAAAGGATAATTAAATAAACTGATACGGGTGACTCCAGAAACCTATCAGTTACAACTTGTGATCAAACTTGTATTTTTGCAAAGCCAAGCAGTCAGATTTCACGTAGCACAGCTAGATGACACAATGGTGTTTTTATACTGCTGCAGTATCACACCTTCGCATTTTTCCTTTTCCATTATCAGGGCTACGGAGGAACTGGCGGTGAAACTGGGCAAGCAGGTCTGAGGCTCGTGAGCTGATATTGAGCTGGAATTCCATTGTGCCGCTCACCAGATCACCAACCTGGATCTTGACTGTACGACGCGGCTGCAAAAAAAAGAAAATGAGAATATTCACCACTGTCATCATTTTTTGATGTAAAGTAACAGAAGCAGAATCAGCAGGAGGCTAAGCATTTAGCATGTTAAATGTTAAATTATGTACAATGTGCTTAATTATGATTCTTCTAGTGATAATTTTTAACTGGCACATCGTAAGTATTAAGTCCATAGATAAAATTACCACAAGAACTGACATTTTATGAAATAATTCATGGCTGATAATCGATGCTGTATTGTGGTTCCAAATGCAAGACATTACTGTTGAGAACAAAAGCCGCAGTGCAGCACTGCTAAACCAGCTCACCTCTGAGTTGTTTTTGTCAGGTTTCTCTCTGCTGTCTGTATGAATCTTCCTCAGCAGGTTCTTGATGCGGCGATCATAGAACTGGTAACGCCGGTTACTGTTCTCATTCAGTTTACGCACCTGGCTCATGAGGAAATTAGGGATCTGAAGAGAAAAACAACATGATACAGCATGTTGTGATACAGTGTTTACCAAAGAAATCTTATCACTAGTTTACTCACTTGGTTTCTCAGGAACTCACAGCTAAAAAAAAAAATCAAAAGGCCAAGTTGGAACCGTTTTGGTTGAATTTTTTTAAATTAAAAAAAAAAATAAAATCAGACTGCCATTTCATTTTCAAGATATTTATTTAACATACAGCTTTGACCAGATGCTATTTCTCTGATAATGAAGTGAATCTTGTCCATTAAAAATAAAACCAGTTTAAAGATTTTCCAGTTAAACTGGAGCACACTTCAACAGTAAATATACACTAAATAATCACGCTATTATATCTGATGTATGTGGGTGGTCCTACCGTCCAGAGCAGGTCCTGGTAGCGAATGAGGAGCCTCATAACGTCAGCTGCCTTCTCCGCCTGTCCTTTCTCTGCCCCCTCAGTCAGTCTGCTGGGGACGGCCTTATGGAGGAAGAGGTTGGGAGCCATGATGGTTGCGACGGCCCACAGATTCATCCTGTTCCTCTTCTCCCTGGAAACCACCTTACTGAGGAACTCAAGCAGAGCCTGAAGGAGACACAGATGGAGATGCATAAGGCTGAAGGCCTTTAAGATGTTTGTAGAATTATTTTTTCTATTAAAAGGTACAGCATGGACTTTAAACATACAGTTCCATATTTTATAAACTCAAAAGACACACTCTGGCTTTCGACTGAGCACAGTGAAAATGTCTTTCAAAAGATAAAAAGGCCACTTACATGAAAGACAAAACAGAGTAAAGTGAATTATCACAGTGACTGAATCATCCGTAACACCTCTGCTGAGAAGTATGCTAATGCACTGTAAGTTTCAGCTGCCTCCACTGGAGTCAAAGTAATTAGTTCAGGTGGGATTTATGCTCCTGGTTGCTATAAGCGGGGCTGACTGCACACTTATGTTGGTGAAAGTGAATCATTGGTTAATGCAAGCCATTATATAACAGAGCAGAGTGTCTGAAATGTGGATTGTGAGCAGAACAATACAGTCATGCATTATGAAACGGTGCTTTGGTCAAGAGTCATTTGGGATGCATTTCTGACAAATCTAAGAAGAGCGAGTAGAGTGAAGTAAAAAAATGTAAAAATAAAGTAGTTTTACAGCAGAGGTTGTTGATCACATGTCCAGTTTAATGCTTTTGGGATCACTCATAGATTCTGTAATTTTCCTGTAGGGTTTTACACTTTTACATAAAATACTTTTCAAACTTGACTCCCACATTTTGGTAGCTAGTTTTGAGCCAATGTCGTGTGTGGAAATCAAAAATGTTCTCCAAGTGCAAGTACATTTGAGCAACGGAAAAGCAATATTTCAGTGTAAAAATACACTATTAGTTACCTAAGTAAAAGTGCAAATTAAGTATGATTAAAAATGACCTTGAAATATCAAAAGTAAAAGTACTGTAACACTGCTCCTTTCATTATTATGTAATTACTGATACTGTGAAAGAAGAGTGGAGCTCATTTCAATCCTAGTTACCGGTAGATCCTAATTTGAAAAGTAACCATGTTTCTCTTACCTTGATGGAAGAAAGTGGTTTCATGCTACACAACTACTGCCAACCACCAAAAGGTCCAATAACTGTTTGCTAAAACAGTGGTTGAGACCATTAAAAAAAAACTCAGTCTATTCCAAATGTTTTAAAATGAAATCCTTTTATCTGTCTTAAAGCTTGATTTACTGTTTCTGTGTGGAATTTCTGACATGAAGTGTTATACAGTTGTGCTGTCTTTACCTTTAGTGTGTTCCTGTTGGGCTCAGGCAGCAGCAGGATGAGCAAGTTCAACATGTGGAGTTTCTGCTTTAGCTCTGTGATGTCTGAAGAAATAAGAAAATACGTAGGTGAGACAGATCGAACACACACTCACACTATTAATTTCCTCTGTGTTTGACTAAGAATAATGGGATGTCTAAAGACTAATGGCATTGTGACAGGTGGTCATTAGGTTTGTTAGCTTATGTTTCTGTGGTCACACGTCATTTATCACTTTGCACTGATCCTCCTCACAAACTATACATCAGTGAGTCATCAGTCAGGCTATATTAATATCAGTCTATTTTTTTATTAAGGTGAAACTGATGTGAAAATGGCTGATCCCCCTCTCTGTGGAGTCACAGTGTGCGCATTTGTGGTGGTGCCAGGACACCTCTTATAAACGCTATCAACTTGTTCATCTTAATGTTGAATTCTCAGCTGGAGCAGAAAAGATAAGCGTCACACAGTGCTGCCATCATGGCGAAGAGACTTAGGTGCTATAATTATGATGTGAGCCCTGCTGAGCTGTCTGAAAAAGTGGGACACATTGTGGTGTTGAGGAAGGGAAAAGGAACTGTTGCATATGTCTATATTAGACAGTAATTTAATGGAACCAGACAACATTTAAGACGCTACCAAAAGATTGACAAAATACACAACAGTGATCCAAATACACACTTTGTTATTCACTTTGGCATTTCCACTTGCATAGTCACATACTGTGTGACGCGGTCTGGTTGTTATGTAACTATACAGCATTGTCGTGAAACGGAATGTTCTCAGGTTTAATCCAAACAGAACCAGGTCTCGAATCACTGAACAGCAGCCTCATTCAAAAAACTGAAGTATAATGGGTGCGTAAGTCTGACGCAACACTGTTTGCACAATCTGTTCAATGCTTGCATAGTATTTTAAATCTACTGTAAGAGTGTTGCAATTCTTTCAAAATATCAACACAAGAATATAAAATATATAAGATATTTTACCTAACAGCAATCACTGAGTGTACACTGACCTCTGACAGCACTGAAGGTGTTGAGGTACTCAGCGGTGAGCAGAGGAGCAGGCAGTTCGCGAATAAACTTCTTGAGTAGTGCAGCAGCATCATTTGGACTCACTTCATCCCAGCTGACCTGCCCTGAGTAGAAGTTGGTCTCCAAGTATTGCTGCAACAGCTGCACACAGAAAACAATGCAGTTTTCTGTTGGGGTGAATTGAATAACAAACTGACATGTCTCCATTTAAAAGCTTGTTATAATTAGATTTACTATTTATGACAATAGATTTAAAAAGACAGGTGTAAAAACTGATACTGATGCTTTGACACAGGGAACTTTTGAAGGACCCATCTAAGGACAGACAGTGGTGAATGAGTTTAATCCACTGAACCTCAAAATCGGCCACCGGGTTTGAAAGGCATGTTGTCTTCAAAAAGCTTTCTCCAATAGAAAGAATCAGTTTTTAAGCTTTCTGCTGGTTCTTGAACTAATCATGTATGATGTGCCATTCCATCAAGGAACTTTAACAAAACAGGGCTTAAATTCAGATTTTTATTGACTCTCACTTTATTCTACATGTCTCTTTCAAACATTTGCCCAAAATCATATCTGCTATAAGCAGTACTGAAAAAAATTAAAAACGAAAGTAGTAAAATGTCTATAGTATGTGGAACCACCATTTTTTGTGGACACTTGGGCAAATGTTGTACATGTTGATTCCATTTGGTTTTTTTTTACATAACAATCAAAGTAATTCATTTTTTTCTTAATGATTTATGACTTTATAACCTTTAATACTGCACAGAAGACATTTTGGAGTTCGTTGTACTTCTAGCCATGGTTGTGCTGTTTCCATAGAGGTGTGGGACTGTAGATTGCATTTAAAAATGGGACCATAGGACCAGAGCAAACTTAAATGTCCTGAAACTGCTTGGACTTTAGGAGTAAAGCAAAAATGCTGTGATGTGACATAGGTTCATGCTGTGTACTTGTCACTAACAGTAAAAAATTTTAATCATTTTGTAATACCTTGGTATGCAATTGAAACCAGGGACTAATGAAAGAAACCACAACCGCACTATGAAATTTAGTTATTTCTCACTGTTGTAGACTAATTGATTATCTAGCCTGGCAGATTTCCCTCCCTTGTTGCTAACTGGTGCCCTCTTGTGGCTGCTCAGGTTTAAATGATTCACGATCATCTCTATATTGTGGCATCATGAAGGCTATCTGGCACCAGCAGCTGAAAAAGAATGATTGATTCTGTCTTATTGGACCTTGTTTTTGTAAATGTCAGCTGTACTTAAACTTCTTGAAGCCTGTTGGTTTTCCTCTCCACTGTTAAAGCAATTCTTACATTTTACTGTGTCAATATTTTGTCTGCTCTTTAGGTCTTGGCTTTACACAAGAGATAAATAGATAAAATAATTAAGTGCAGTGCTATGTGTGTGTAGATTCCGATATGCCACCTTGATTCTGGACTGAGACCCTGGAACCCGTAGGATCCCCTCCGAATCTACTCCTTTCTTCTCCAGAAACGACAACAACTGCAGAGGGAGAGAGAGAAAGAAAAAAGGGAGAGAGGCATCAGCAGAATCCGGCATCAGTAGATAAGAATCTCGAGCTCACCTCTGCTGGTTATACTCAGTAACTGCTGCTACAAACAGGGTGTGGTCGAAGCATTTCACATACAGAGGACACTGTATGTTCTCTAACAGTTCTCTATCTATGACAAAAAAATGTCACCTTCTGCCAGACCAGAGGAGAATAACAGACTTAATAGACAACAACAAAGTATGAATGTCTGGCACGTACAAATTTTGCATGATATGCAGCGTGTAATTTATTTACTGTACGTGTTTTGACTGTGAAAGGTCATATCACACAGATGCATTCATGGGTTCTTACCGCCTGCAGGAACAGAGGAATTGAGGTGTTGGACTTCATTTTCTGATCAGTCTCCAGCAGCGTGGCCAGCGGCACCCCAAAGAGCGTACTCTCTGTGAAAGACTAGCGTGTCAGTCATGTTTGCCTCACATGGTGTTGCTTGTGTCACTATGTGCAAACGAGGATGCTGACATACTGCAGTGCTAACCAAAAGGAATATTTATGACTGATAAATTATTTGAAAAAAAAAAACCAAAAAACATGTAACTAGTTTTGTCTAGTTTTGAGTGCTGAGCAGGTACAATCCTGGCACCAGAGAAACAGGAAGGAACAGTTAACAGGAATTAAAAAGCTGACAGCTTGTGTGTGTGGGTCAAAGACAGAAAAAATCTCCCACATAGTTTGATATCATTTTCTTAATAAAAAAAGGTACTGTCAATTACCATGTGTGTAAAGTCTTTGCTGTGGGCTCAAGTGCTACCCTACCTGGGATTTTCCTCTTGCCGGTTTTGTGCCTTTTGACCTCCAGCTCTAGGAGGTCACACAGCGCCGTCATGTCAATGAGAGCCAACTGACGCACCTTCTTCATGTCAGCATGGGACAGATCTTGAATACGAGTCACTCCTAGACGGCACTTGGGGCAGATCACCCGCTGAGAAGGTGAGAGTGGAGGAAAGAGAAAAGTGAGAAGAGAGGGAATGGAGTTGAAAGTTAGCAAGTGCAGGTGAAGAATGACAGGAAGACAGAAATCATACAAAACAAAAAAATAGAGGAAGATGAAGACAGATTGACTGTACATCAGTTTATCTCGATGCAGTGTCTTTAAGTACACATGGTAGAAAGGTATGCTGGCATGCATAAGTAGGACCACAAATTCGCCCTTTTTGCACAGGAAACTTATTTAGCCTGAAATAGAAAAATAAATCTGCTGGACGGTGACACAACAAGTCTCCTTTTGTTTTGAGCTAATTCTATCATTCCTTATCTGCTTAACCTTGTTATCTAACCAGCAGCGGAGGGCTGATTGCAAATGGCTTATAATATCATTTGTGTATGTGTGTGTGTGTGTGTGTATGTGTGGTTTCAGGTTTACATGAAAGTCTTGATCCAAAACAGGGACTGAAATATTCTGTAAGAAGCTTGGCACTAAATTTCTGTGACTCGTTTTTGCTCTTTACTTGCAAGTACTTTTTTTTTTTTTTTTAAAAGGTTTACTACTATCAAACCCAGTTATAATCACAACAATAAATTAAACAAAACTCAGACTGATAGAGTCAAAATGATGATTTAACTGGCTGTCTGTAGGCAAAGATCACAAAAACATTTAAAAAAAATCTTTTAAACAACTGTGAGCTTAAAAATTCCTAAAACCTCTGTATTGTATCTGAGATCTTAAAACTTTGTGGAACAGACAAAGATGTGCATATAATTGGGACTGGAATACAAAAACTGCTCAGTCAAAAAAAGCCAACTGTCAGCATTTATGGTAGAGGCATTTGGTGAGGCTTATGAACTATATTTATAAATATAAATTTATATATATATGATTTTAATTTCAATATGAGTTAAATTGAACTAAAATTTCATCCTCATGCAAAAACCAAGCTGTTAATATTCCCCAAAACTGTGTGATTCTTTTGAAATTCTCTTTTCAGGCAATAGATTTCACTCTCACTAAATGTTATGAATGTACGATACAAACAGTAAAACACAAGTCAGTGTTCCCCATTTATGTTTTATATGCAAATTCTCTTCCTGTTTCATGCCTGGACCATTTGAAGATTTTACTTAAAACTCTCTACTCCCTACAAAGCTGTCCTAAAACCACAGTCATTCTGGAAAATGAGTGGGAGAGATGAAAAGTGTTTGGGTGCTTACAGGCAGGGTGCCGTCCTCTTTCCTGCGTTGGCTGTTGTTCTGTGGCAGTTTGGCTTGTTTGAGGAAGATGACAGCCTGTTCGCAGTAGGCCACATCAGTGATGAAGAATTCTTCTTTAGGAGCACCTCGCTGATGCTCCGGTGTCACAGCTGAGCAGGAAACATGCCAGTAAAAACACACAAACGCCAGTCTTTTTAGTTTTTTTTGAGGGAAGTCCAGTGTAGAGATGTCAAAAAAAAAATTAATTTGATAGTACGCTTCATGAAGGACCAAGAGGAACAAAAACGACAGAAAGTCAACACAAGAATGAGGAAATGTACTATACACACCCCTTATCTGTTCTCTGATTAAGGACAGAGGAACAGATAATTTCAAAGAAAATTAAAGCTGCAAGCAGCGTTGGTTGGGTCCTCGGTCTGCGTTGGACCCTCATGCCCGTCTGACCTCCATTTTGACACAATTTAAACCTGCTTTAAGTTTAAGGAGCCGTTTTCTCTCTCTGCTCAGCCTCAGACTGTCAGTGAGTCACATGACCAGCTGCACTGAGCTGCCAATCAGCATTAAAGCTGCAGGTGATGATGTCATCGTTTTTCATGCCCCTGGCTGAGAGAGCTGAGAGTTTTACTCGCTTTCACTCACTTTCACTCTCCCATACAGCCACAATTTTCACCAAATGTGTGTAAAAACAGTTTACAGCCTTAAATTTTTTTTAAGGCTGCAGGACCTTTAGTTTATTGTGTAGATGACCAAATGTCACAGCATGTGTGCACATGCCCCATAGACAGCCATACAAAGTATGAGCCGAGGCTGCGGCAGCGCATCAACTTTAACGGCTCGCCATTCAAAAACCGGTTGAGAAACGTCAAATCCCTTCAGAACTTTTGTACATCAAGGCCTTCTCTGTCTCCTGTGTGATTTTCAAGTTGGTACAATTTACGGTGTCAGACAAGATAATTTTTTCCAGAAAGATGTTTTCACGGATTTTCTTACTTTGAAAGGCAAATTGCGGACTTCCTGTTTGAGATAGGTCAGGGGTGTCAGTGCGAGATTTGTGGGTCTCATTGAGACGAACGTTTTGGTGTTGGTTTGATCTCTGTACGACATTCCTACTGGGCGCTAGGGCCGTTTTAGTGTGTTTTTCTGTAACTAGGTGGCGCTAGAGAGCATTTTCTTGTTTTTTTTTTCCATATTATCAAAGTTTTCGCCGATTTGGACGTGCGTGCCAATTTTGGTGAGTTTTTGAGCGTGTTTAGGGGGTCAAATTAAGGGTTTCGCGTTCGGCGGAAAAATAATAAGAAGAAAGAAACGGAGCAGGAACAATAGGGTCCTTGCTGCTTGCTTTGTAAGTAGGGGTCCTCGGACCCTAATTAAAGCTGCAAGCAGCGTTTGTCGGGTCCTCGGTCTGCGTTGCCATTGTTGAAGTTAAACCTGCTTTAAGTTTAAGGAGCCATGTTTCTCTCTCTGCTCAGCCTTAGACTGTCAGTGAGTCACATGACCAGCTGCACTGAGCTGCCAATCAGGATCAAAGCTGCAGGTGATGATGTCATCGTTCTTCATGCCCCTGGCTGAGAGAGCTGAGAGTTTTACTCACTTTCACTGTCCCATACAGCCACAATTTTTTACCAAATATGTGCAAAAACAACATATTTTTGTGGGAAATCTTGTTAGGAAGCCCTCAGTGTCATTTTTAAAGCAGTAGGACTTTTAGTTTTTTATGTAGATGACCAAATGTCACAGCCTGTCTGAACATGTTCCATAGACAGCCATACAAAGTATGAGCCGAGGCTGCGGCAGCTCATCAACTTTAACGGCTCGCCATTCAAAAACCGGTTGAGAAACGCCAAATCCCTTCAGAACTTTTGTACACCTGATTCTAATTTTTCCATAGGTGTGAATGTGACTGTGCATTGTTGTCTGTCTCTAAGTGCAGCCCTGTGATAGACTGGCAACCTGTCCAGGGTGTCCCCTGCCTTCGCTCTACGTCAGCTGGGATAGGCTCCAGCCTCTCTGTGACCCTAGTGAGGATTAAGCGGTGTATAGATAATGGATGGATGGATAAAAACAAGAATACTGCTGAAGCCACTGTCACCATCTGCAACAGCACTGCAGTCCATTTTGATTTTAGTAATGTATCTAAGATGTTTGAGTCTTGCTTTTCAAGAGACACCAACCTGTTGTATGTTTTTGTAATATTAAAACACCTACAAATAAGGGGCTGCAAGGTGCCCCCCCCCCCCGCGACCCTAGTGAGGATTAAGTGGTGGGTGTATAGATAATGGATGGATGGACCTACAAATAAGTTTTAGGATTCTCCAATTTGCAAACTGTTTCCCCTGCTTGTTATCAAACTATAAAACAGACAGGGTTTCTCAAGCAGCAGCATGCAGAGACATGTAGTTATCCAGGATTCAATGGGAGCCAATGAGATGACAGATAGCAACATTGTGGCCTGATCCGTCATCATAAAATCCCCACAAACCTGCTGCTCACCTTCAGCTATGTTTCTAAAGACAAGGCTGGCCATTACAAAAAGTAATTTGTAAGATGATCTGATGATGTAATTTCCAGACTAAAACTGGTTTTGATTCAGCTATATCACTAAAAACAAGCTGCAGCCCAGAGTTCACTCACTTCTTTGTTATCCCTTTCTTTTTTCTAGTTTGTTTTTGACTTAGTATAAATATATTATGTAGCTCTTACCTGATAGGGGTGTTTTGGCAACCGATGCCATACTGTTTTGGGCAAGGTCTTCACTATGCTGAGACTCTGGCAGAAGGGTCTGGTGAAAGAGACACATTGCAAACAAATTTACAATCTTGTCTGTAATCAGTAACTGTTATAAATATCCGTGTCCAATAAGAGAATGGACATGGGTTCACAGAGTGTTTCCTTTGAAAAAGCACTGATAAGGATCAGAGGAACAGTGTCTCTAGTCCTCTCTCAGACTGTCTCAGACAGGCAGCGAGGACAAAGCATGGCCTTTACATGTGATTTGCCTTTATTGTCACAGGTCAGGCCTCCTCCATGAAACAAGATAGCACAATACAGTGGAACAATAGAAGGTAACTCACCAAGTCTTAACAGTCACCTGGGAAATGGGTATCTGATATTTCACTGCATATTGTATTTACTGTATGTGACATGAGTGGGCTCTGCTTACTGTGAACTTTCAGGCTTTCGCACAGATTTTCTACAGCAGTCTTCAGACATGAAAACTGTAAAACTGAGTCATTTATGTGTATCAATGGAAGTTAAATGTGAAGATTTAAATCTAAAGTACTTATGAGTTACAATATGTATATGCTACTCCTGTTAATTAGGTAGCTAAATTCAAAGTGCTGATAAAAGTTTGTCTAAGCCATTCCTAAACCGACTACTTTTTTCTATTTGTAGTTTCTAACATTTAAATATATTTATCACTATGTAGGGCACATATATTTGTGAAGAGCTGTAGAAAAGCCTTCCTTAGGCAAATAGTAATTTACATTGTATTTAAGCATCCTGACCTGAGCAATAGGTGAATGGAAGATGTCACGAACGTCGCGGGGAGGTGGTTTGTTCCGTTTGCGGAGAGACAGAGTGTAGGAATCCAGTCGACGCTGGACGGCCTCGGCCTGCGTCCGAGTCAGAGTGGACAGCAACACCGCGTTGTCTACATCCTCGCTGTCCTCACTGATGAGGTTCGACAAGCCAGCATCAGCCAGCCACTGCTCCTCTTGCTCTCCCTCTGAAACATATAACAAGCATCCAGATGTAAGCACACACTGACAACAACAAGATGTGGGTAAAATGCAGCATGTTGCAATACTAAAATATAACATGAAGTAGTTATGTATACAATTTTAATTAAATGACTGGATTATTTACAGTTGTGTACTAATTGTAAGTAAATGCAAAGTAGCTGTAAACTGGTGATATACTAAATTTAGGTTTACGAGAACACTTTTTCTCATTGTTTAAATTTAGAAAATTTTATAAAGTAATGTGTAAACTGGTCGCTAGGAAACATCTGCAGCACAGTGCAATCAAAAGTCACCAATGTGTAAACAGTATATCACCGTGGCATCACAAGATGTCACATATCCCATTGTGAGAGTTTTAAGGAGGGTAAACAATACCATGATGTTTTATCTATTTACCCTATAGAGGAGCAACTTCAGCTTTGTTAGTTAGCTCAGTTAGCTATGCAACAGTTACAGCAGGCAGTTGATGAGTGTAAATGAATAGTAGCAACTAATCCCTAAGTATGAACTAGATTCTGTGTTGCCTAAAAGTATGAAGAACTGTCTCTCATTACAGCAGTTAAGTTCAGGAAGAAAATTAAACTGTCATCTTCTCAATATAATATGTACAGTTACACAAAGCTGCACAGAGGCCTTAGTCATTAGCAAAAGGATTGAAACAGTGCCTCTGTTTTATATAACATGAAAAGGATCAATCAAAGAGCAAAATTAAGACAGTCAGATCATTTGAATGAGAATAAAGGAAAGCATAATAAACAAATGTTTCCTTTAATAGTCAGCATTCATGAATGGCTATTTGGCTTTTGCATATAAAACACTCCCCACCACAGTGTTTGATAGTGTTGTCATGGTGATGAGCGCCACTTTGCTGCATGAGAGAAACCTGATATGTTGCCATGGCAAATGTATCATTTAATGGAGGATCCCGGTAGCAGCTGAGTTAAACAGTATCATTTTGTAAGACTATCACATAATCTTAAATGGACTTCTTTCTCAGCTGTTTTTGTCTATTCTTTATCAATCAGCACAGGATCTGCAGTATTTACCTTCTGACTGTCTGGAGTCTCTTCTGGTGCAGTCGAGGTCTGTGTAGCCACTCCCCTGTCGAATAGTCTCAACCTCACTCCAAAATGAGTCCAGACAGAGTTCGTCGGGATGCTGCTCCTGGTCCTGGGAGGGCGGCGGCGTGTGCGTGCTGTGTGAGTGTTCAGCGGCTGCCTGGTCCTGCGTGCCGGCCCAGGAGTCCACGCTCATCTCGGTGGGGCTGGGATCTCTGGTGCAGACATACACACACGTAAAAAAATCACACGCATGCATGCAAACAAATGAGCAGAAACACAAAGACACATACAAACACGGGAGGAATGGTGAAGACTGAGGTGGTGCAGGGAGGATGAATCAGCCGGGAGAGCCCAGAGAGATAGAGAAACAAAAGGAGTGGGATGGAGGTAGGGCCGGAGTGAGGAGAGAAACGGCGAGAATGGACACAAAGGGGGGTCTCTATTGTTCTTGTAAAATGTGGCCTGAAGGCAAAGTACCCTGCAGATCCACTAGATGTCACTGTAGCAGTGTGAAATCTGCTTCCCTGAGGGTCACACCCCTCCACCTACAGATACACATCTGAGAATGCAACCCAGTAACACTCAAGGGTGAAACATGCAATGAAGAGAGTTTTGGAAAAAGAAATCTTGTCTATATTTGCCCTCAGTTTCTGTTCCTAGCACAAGCAGGGAAAAGGCAACCTGCTATTTATATGCAGGACTGAACAACAGAGGATACTGTTCTGTCCCAACAATGGGAAGCACTCAGCTGGCAGACTCACTCACCCCCTCAAGCACTAAAATGTGACCCTTTGATCACAGACACAGGAAGTGGTCAGCTGATTCACTCCAGTGGCATGTGGTTCATCCACATTCTTGTAGTCAGCATATCTCAAAGAGACGTACCAAACCATACCGTTCCAGAACACCAGATGTCTTATCATGCCATCAAGAATGTAGAGAGACAATGAAATGATAGTTGCTGGATGTATCAGAGCCAAAAATACCTTCATACTTTCAGTTGTGATTCAATGAGCTCATCAAGATGCTGCTCATAAATGCCCGCATTAACAACCAGTCAATGCTTTGGTTTGTTGAACAAGTTTTGTGGTGTTTCAGATGTGGGTTTTAATAGATATACTATTTCAATAAAAGCTTATTTTATTAGCAAGTAACAGCAAGCGAAACAGACAAACTGAAAGAAACAGATTTCTACAGCAGGCCTACACTATTTTTTCGTTCAGTAACATGATACTATGCATAGAAAAAAATATTTGCAAGAAACATCACCATTAAATTTGATGTAAAAAAAAAAAAAATCAATTAATGGTCAACAGTTGAATTCAAGAAATGTGACCATCTACTAAGTGCGGTACTATAGCATAAAACTACACATTAACTGCTTTCTCATACGTTAAAGCTTTCTCCTTTTTAAAAGCTGTCAAATCAGCTCTGCATTGACTTAATACGTAAAATGGGTCATGCTATTGCTTTACTGTTCCCTAAACCAGTATGGCTACATTCCATCATACACAACAGCAGTATACAGTGTAACGTGACAGTACCCTGCAGTGCAGGCTAATCCAAGCCATTTCCATGGAAAACCACAAACACTTCTACTAAGGTGTCCTCACGCAACTTATCAAAACCACAAAAAATCCCTATAATGAGGTTATTTAGCTAGAACAGCCATTAAATGCATTGTGAAAAATGATGCACAGCTCCAGTCTGACAGATTGATAACAGCAGCGATAATGACGTTAGTGAAGGCACGAGGCATTCACTGACATGGCAGATCTGAGTTAAGGTTTATGAATTTTCACATCATAGCCATACTAGAGAAAGTGTTTGTTTAATCTGACCAGCAGACAAAAAAGCAAAAACTTGTTGTTTAAAACACAAATGAAGCAGGAAGTCCTCGCATTTAAGGTCCTAACAGCAGTAAATGTTTGACATGCGTGCATGCTAATTGACAGCAGCAATTACGTATCAGTGTCAATGACAGTTGTTGATGACTAATTGTCCCTCCGTAAACTAACTGTTTCAGCTCTAGAGGACTGTCTCTATAGAAATACATTACCTCACAGAGAGAAGATTCATCTCTATGAGTTCCACACAGATTTAACTTGAACAATAAAATATAGTCTTTAGCTTCTGATCAAAATTCAACCATTTGTAAATTTAGTCCTGCTGATCCAACTCCAACTCCGCACACTTACCTTGCTTTTGTCTTATGGAGCTTTGACTTCATGCGTTTGCCCCTCACTGGGCTTTTGTTTGGACGGAGCCTGAAACGACTCAATCTGGAGCGTGGAAACTGCATGTTGGAATCGAGCCTGCTCACCACTACCTCCTCTCTGCCTCCCATATCCACACTGCCAGAGAAATCCAGGAATTAGTCCTGCACAAAAACTAGCTTTATCCAGTCCTGGTGGTTTGGCACCATGTGAGTGCGATGTAAACTGTCCGCTGCTCAAGTTTCTCTGTGTGGTGACAGGAAGTGAGGTTGCAAAGTGTGGGGCTTGGAGCTGTGTGGCATATTTGCATGCCGAGTAGAGCTGGTGCTGGAATGCGGGAGGGAGTGACGACTTCCTGAACATCAACACATCATTCACACCTGTCCCCTCCCTCCCCGTGGCGACACACCCTGCCTACATGCCTGATGGCCATCAACTTCCTCTTCGGTTCAAACAGAAATCTGCTACCTGACACACTTTAAACCCCCACTTAAATTACTTAGGCTTAAACACAACAAAGATATCCATTGTTTTAGCCCACTAGAAGTCTAATGGACATGCATGACGAACCCTCTAGTCACAGCAGTGAAAGTTGACTCCATTAATGGCCACAAACATGTATACCTCAGGCAATTTGGTGGCCTTTTAGTGTAAGCTTGACAACTCTTCTTAAGCTCATTAATCAAGGATTCTTTGTTGGTAAAATGAGGCATTTAATCACCTCCCTGCTGTATGTTACTGTATGTGTCCAGAAATAAATAAATCAAACTGGTGAGAAGAATGAAGATGGTCTTCTCTTTTTTCAAACTCCATTGCAATGCATGCATTGCAAACAGGCAATCTTTAATCAGACAGTACATACTTGTGGAGTGACAGCTAATGACGTGTTGGCTTAAATCAAATCATGCCTTATATGCAGAAGAAAGCACCCATTCATGTTGTCATAGCTAACATCCTCATTCAACCTCATACCTGAGGGCAACTAACCTTCTGATATAAATGACTGCCAGGTGGCTGTGTGCAGATGCTCATGTATGTGTATGAGCGCAAGGTAGAGTGAGAGAAACAAGAGAAGTTTCTTGAGTTTCTCAAGTGCAACAGGTCTGTCAACATTGCCTGAGCGCAGCCTTGTAACCCCTAAACATCTTACCAAATCACTCATCACAGCTGTTCCATTCTCTCTTGTCATGCTGATGGCAGCTTGCATATCATTTGAATGTGTAGTGGTTTTGACACATAGGTAATTTAATGACGAGTTTAGCATAGCATTTTCACACTTTTCACCTCAACATGTGCACTTCTTAAATTTCTGCTAGTGCATGACTTAGTTCTGTCTATTTTAATAAAAGCTTGATGGAACAATGTTGGGAAATGTGCTTTCATGGAAATTCAGCTGATATCTGCTGTGCGTCTTACAAACCTAACCAGTTACTTCAACCCTCTACAGTTTGTCACATGGCCCTGCTTGCATTTTGAATTTGTAAGTAAAAGAAAGCTTTCAGTCTCTTGTGCCAAACTCATAACAACTGACATCATAATGACCTCACACTAAACCTCCAGCTAAAAATGCCAGTAACTGTATTACAAAATCCTCTCAAAGGACAAACTATAAAAAAGAATCAGAACAGCTTTGAATCTATTTCCCATGCTTCCTTGTTTTGACTTAAGAGCCAAGAGGAAAAGAAGCATTGTTTCAGTTTTAAATCAGCTAATAATATTCCTAAACTTGCCAGCAAGTTATAAAGCCTGGCCACAAAACAAAGCAGCACACGCTCCCTGCTAATGTTAAAAAAAAAAAGATTACTGAAAATGTCAGTGTTGGGATTTTTCCTTGTTGAATGGACCTCAATTAACATGGAGAATCAACAGGAAGCCACCTACTCTGAGAGAAGAATGGACAAAACACAAAGCTGCTGTTTACCTACTTATTCAGCACTGTGGGAAGTAACATAAAGTAACCTCAACCAACAACTCGGATTGAGGAATGCTGTAATCCACTTGAAAAAACCTCATGTTGAAAGCAACACACAGTGTTTAATCCCTGTGGCTGAATTCCACTGAAAGCCTCTTAGTTTACAGAGAAAGCAACAATTAGCTTGTATGGCCTTGAGAAAGTGTTTGTCGCAACATATAGGTTCTTTGATGTGAAAAATCATAAACATAGAGTCATTCTGAATCAGGCCACAAAGTAACTCCATCAAAAACGCACCAAAAGGTAAAACTGTAATAAAAGTCTTTAGCGTTAAGAGAAATTATTTTTTTGTGCTGACTGACTAAAAATGAAGTTCCGACTAAAGAAAGTCAAACAAAAGTGACACCCAAACCTATTTCAGATCAACAATAACAAGATAATCCATGCAGGAGCCACAAGCCTCAGCAGACCCTGAGTCCACAGCGGCAGCAAAAGCCTAATCCTACCTGGCCTTGGCCCGTCCGATACCTCTGACTGAGAGCAGCAGTAGGGCCGCCGAGCCACTTCTCCCCCATGGCATCCTGTTGGTGTCCCCCCAAACTGCTGCGAGCCGTAGGAAACAGCAGCTGCTTGCCCCTGGCAAGCTGCTTCCTTATAATCTCTTCAATGCACAAACACATTAGAACAAGGACACTCTGACTATGCTGGCAGGCACGTCACTACATCACATCCTGGGGCAGGAAAGGAGGTCTGCATGGGGGGGCTCAGGGAGGGTCAGAAGCTTAGTGGTTGAATAGCTGACTGGGGCTGGGACAGACAGAGAGAAGATATGATATGAATGGTTAGTTTGGACATGGGGCTGAATGGATGGAAGAGAGACCACAACAGCTGCATGCCAGACTGGGCTGCTGGATGGGTAGCTTCACTAACTTTCTGGATCAACTAATGCTGTGGCTTCATCATTTACTGGAACAAAGAAAAGCATACAATATCCTTTAGACTATGGAAACATGCTTACTCATTCATTTACTGTTTTACAAAGGAATGTGCAACATTGTTTCTTTAATTTGAACTTGTTTAACCTGTAAATAGTTTTCAACAGTAACTGAAGGTCATAATCCATTTTTACTGGCACTTATTTACAGCATGGTTGAATATGAAGAACTATCAGAGACTATTAGACAGTTTGTCCAGTGGTGTCCAGAGGCAGGAATGAAAAAACACGGGCCCCTCACTGAACTTTGGATGAAAGGGAAGAACACAAGGCAGCCCATGGTCTTTGATTGATGAAGTACAAAGAGAGCATAAATAATATAGAATAAAAGTGTCCTCTCCTATACCTTTTAAACATGATCTAGTTTTACATGCCATAAGGATAAAATTCAGGTCTTACCTGCTTTTACCATTTGACTCTCAATAGACAGGAGTCAAACTGGTGAAACCTAAAGTGTCATTTTTATGCAATGCATAGGTAAGAACAGGCTGCCAGAAGATCTGAGTTTCATGCCATTTCTTTTCGTTTCTGAAGCCTGTTGTTATGAAGATACACTACCAATCTAATCAATTCAATCTACTAAAAAATGCAATTTACTCTTGACTGACTAGCAATATTTTTTGTCTGTATTTTTGTCTTAGTTCACTATTAACACCATCATATGGCTTCTATTAAACATATCAAACTTATCTTGTGTGTGAAATATGCCATAAAGAGAAATTAAAAGGAATGTGTTACAAAAATATATATTTAAACTGCCATTTGAAAAGGTCAGATTCATAGCCAAGACATTAAGGGCAGAAATGTACAGTAGGTGACTATTTGTCACTTACTGTTCTTTGTCTTGTCCTTACACTGGATTTTCAAACAGACAGGCTGGTGTACAAAACATTACTTGGTGCTGAAATTAGCTAAGGCAGAAGTTGGGTTAACTATAAAATCATAATCGTGCTTAAAGTAAATTTTTAATAAGCTTTACTATATTTGCTACATTATACGAGAGAGTTTTGAAATGAAATGAAATGAAAAATACTTTATTTATCCCAGAAGGGAAATTCAATAGTTGGAGTTCATTCCTAAGGACTAGACTTTGTAACGCAGCAGTGTTGGTGGAGTTTAAATTCTATGGAATCCATAGTGTTTCTAGGAACATATATGAGCTACTCAGTGGTGTAAAACCTCCTTTTTGTCTATCAGTCACTGTTAAAAACGGTCTAATCAGTTAATGAATGCCTTTTTTCTGCACAAAATTGCTCACCAATTAAAATGCTATTGTGTAAAACGAGGTCCACACATACCTAAGTGAATATAAGAATCAGCATATGTCCATCTCTGTTGCACAGTATCTGGTGAGACCTGCATAGTCTGTGCTCTGTGCTGCTGGTGTGTCAGGTCTTTCGCTGTTTCCCCAGTGATTTGTTAGACTAAGTTTATCTCTAACCAGATCAACACAGCTTACAGAGACCAAAGGGATGCCTCTGGGGATTTTGCCTTTCTCACCATCCCTCTTTGTTCACACTAACTTATTCCTTACTTCTGTTCTCCCCATCGTTTTCAGCACATCAACCACAGCTCTCAGAGGTGTTGTCTCCCAGTCACGATCATCTTGATTTCACTCCTGGTTAAGTCCAATAAAACCATCTTCTCTCCTCCCCTATCAAACTGCACTTATCTCTCTCCTTCCTTAAAATTTAAAATGTTTCTTTCCTGCCCCTGGATCATTTCTGACTATTGTTCATGGCTCGTCAAGATCTTTTTTGCCTTTTCTGACAATTCTCCTTAGGTCACAGAGACGTTTGGAGAAAAAGGAGAGTAGGAACGTGATGGCATGTCTTCATGTGACCCTGCAGATGGCATGTGACAGCCAGCTCAGCCTCGTGCCCTGCTCATCCACCTCTTGGCAAGCAGGGCACTGAGCATGTGTCAAGTGTAGGGGAAGGGAAGGGAGGACAGGAAAGTACAGCAGAATACAGGAGCAAGTGAAATAATAAAAGAGAAATGTGTTGAAATGATGACAGAGGAGGATAAAATGTTGTTATAAGAGAAAAATAAGGATGTAAAAAGAGTGGGGGAAAATTGATTGTAGAAATGTATTGCTATGTTAAATTATCTTTCGTATTTTGTTGGTCTTTGTTTTTCAGCAAGCTCTCTTAGCTGACAACTATCCAGATAACTTTTCACAAGAGAATATGGTCAACGATTAAAATGCAAATTAGAATCAGCCCAGGATGAGGCAGACTCATCAACACTTCCAGATGGTTTGACTAACAAACAAATGAGGACACTGCAAATGCTGACAGCACATCAGTCTTATCCACACACTGAGACACTTGGCTGCATACCAATATATTGGCTATGCTCATTCATGAACATACACTAAAGCACACAGAAACAAAAAAGGTGAAATTAACTGTTTCATCAAATGCAGAAATTCATGCAGCTGATGCAAGTTAGTTTTTAACCCCAAAACACAACACAACACAATTCCACACAGAACAATGAAGACACAGTGAAGGAAAGTCTGCAATAAACACTTGTCACGAGTGCAAACGATTTTATGAGGAGGAAATAATGAACCATGCACGTGCAATGTTTATTGTATACATACACACTGAGCTGCAGCAGTCGAATTCCTGCATCATGCCCACAGTGATGTGGGTTTTCCACTCATCATTATTTATGACTGCAAAGCTTGACACATTAATTCATCTGGACAGTGCAACTGAACTTGTTCTGAAAGCATAGGAAGTGAGTTGAAGAGAAGTTTTAATTATCTCATCATATAAACATATTGATGCATCACTCAAAGTATGTCTCTGCACAAGACCCTGAAAATAAAAGTAAGAACAAAAAAAGGAAATTGAACTCATTGTTTTCTAATTGAAACTTTACAGAGGCTAACCCATTGCTGGACATTGCAGTTTCATTTAATTTTTTTTTTAGTCAAAAATGTTCTTGTGACTTGATTTCTCCAAAGGCAAGGGTACTTACACAATTGGTAAGCTGTAAACTAAACAACTTTATATATACAGTACAGACCAAAAGTTTGGACACACCTTCTCATTCAAAGAGTTTTCTTTATTTTCATGACTATGGAAATTGTAGATTCACACTGAAGGCATCAAAGCTATGAATTAACACATGTGGAATTATATACTTAAAAAAGTGTGAAACAACTGAAAATATGTCTTATATTCTAGGTTCTTCAAAGTAGCCACCTTTTGCTTTGATTACTGCTTTGCACACTCTTGGCATTCTCTTGATGAGGTAGTCACCTGAAATGGTCTTCCAACAGTCTTGAAGGAGTTCCCAGAGATGCTTAGCACTTGTTGGCCCTTTTGCCTTCACTCTGCGGTCCAGCTCACCCCAAACCATCTCGATTGGGTTCAGGTCCGGTGACTGTGGAGGCCAGGTCATCTGGCGCAGCACCCCATCACTCTCCTTCTTGGTCAGATAGCCCTTACACAGCTTGGAGGTGTGTTTGGGGTCATTGTCCTTTTGAAAAATAAATGATGGTCCAACTAAACGCAAACCGGATGGAATAGCATGCCGCTACAAGATGCTGTGGTAGCCATGCTGGTTCAGTATGCCTTCAATTTTGAATAAATCCCCAACAGTGTCACGAGCAAAGCACCCCCACACCTCCTCCTCCATGCTTCACGGTGGGAACCAGGCATGAAGAGTCCATCCGTTCACCTTTTCTGCATCGCACAAAGACACGGTGGTTGGAACCAAAGATCTCAAATTTGGACTCATCAGACCAAAGCACAGATTTCCACTGGTCTAATGTCCATTCCTTGTGTTCTTTAGCCCAAACAAGTCTCTTCTGCTTGTTGCCTGTCCTTAGCAGTGGTTTCCTAGCAGCTATTCTATCATGAAGGCCTGATTCACACAGTCTCCTCTTAACAGTTGTTCTAGAGAGGTGTCTGCTGCTAAAACTCTGTGTGGCATTGACATGGTCTCTAATCTGAGTTGCTTGTAACCTGCGATTTCTGAGGCTGGTGACTCGGATGAACTTATCCTCCGCAGCAGAGGTGACTCTTGGTCTTCCTTTCCTGGGCGGTCCTCATGTGAGCCAGTTTCTTTGTAGCACTTGATGGTTTTTGCGACTGCACTTGGGGACACTTTCAAAGTTTTCCCAATTTTTTGGACTGACTGACCTTCATTTCTTAAAGTAATGATGGCCACTCGTTTTTCTTTACTTAGCTGCTTTTTTCTTGCCATAATACAAA